TTGTGCAGCTCCATTTGACAGTGGTCTTGGCTACCTCATAGCACTGTCACCTCATCGTCAGACTATAGTTAACGGAGGCCCCAGGTCCTTTTCATAGCAATTGTTATAAGCAGGTGTCACCCTCTGTATGTCCCCAGTTGACTGCTGCCTTGATTACAGACAGGGGTCCTTCAGCCACAACTCCCAGGTCTTGCACTGCCCTGGACAGTAAGTCGTGGGATCTGGGGACCTGGGCTCATTGGAAGCTTCTCTGTGGTCTCTGGAGGCCTCCTCTCCTCTCACAGGCTTCAGTACCCTCAACCCTGTTTGTTTCTCACTTTGTAGCTGCAAAATCGTTTTCCGGTGGAGAGGGGAAAGGGAGGGAGGCATCACTGATCAGGGAGGTCTTAGTCACTCTGAGGTCAGGCTCTCTGCTTTCAGTTAACAAAGTAACCATTCTCCCAGGCAGCGAGCTAATACAATCTACGCAACTACTCTGTAAAGCGAAACGGCTCTTACCGTACCCAATGCATAGCCAGAACCAGGAACTGGAGGCTCTTGGAATTCAAACTTGTCCAAGTTCACAAGGAAAGACATGGATTCATGAGGCTTGTCCAGGTCATCTGATGGCAAATCCTGCATGGCTTCCCCTGCTCCAAGCTCAGAGGAGAAGGTGTGTTTAGATGGGGGCCAGGGAGAGACGGAGGGATGGGAAGAAAGAGACTCCTAATTCTCCACACACTGAGAACCTGTGGCTGAGCTAACCCAGGGCTGAGTAGAGAATGAAGCTGAAAAATCCTCTGTGTCCCAGGGAGTGTGGGCAGCGAGGATGACGGATGAGGACAAATCTGCGGAACATCTGCACCTCAAACGTCTGATAAGAAAGTCTCCCCCCACCCCGCCCGGGGCCATTCCTATACTGCCCGTGTTCTGCACAGCACCTAGGACGTGCCAGCAATGAAGGACGCCAAGTCGGTGTCCATGAGCGCTGGTTGGACTGACTATACTCAGCCCTGTATCATTCACTGTTTCACCCCTTGTTCCAACATCCGGAATATCCTCCACTGCTTCATATCCAGCTGCGCTCCTCGGTTTCTGGTCCTGCATCCCTTGGGCCCTTTACACCTGTCTAACCTATCAGTCATCGTTTTGTGGCCCAGCCTCCTTTCCCAGATCTCCTGTTCCCCTCAAACATTCGTTCATCTAGAAGTGTTAGTGCAGTGTGTGCAAAGGGCACACGCAGCCCGTCATACCCTATGTAGTCCTCAGCGATCCACGCTGCCGCCCCGTATCTCAACCCTTTAGTGACCACTTCTCCAGGGAAGCCTCGTGTCCTCCGTCTGACCACCTCCATACTGTAGGGTGCAGAGCTCCGCAAACAGATCGGACCACAGGAATCAGGCCCTGCGTTTGCTTCGGGAGTTCCCGAGTAGGTGTAGATAGGGCCCTGTGGCACATTAGTGCGAGAGTCCAGTCCTATGTCTTCTACTTTTCATTCCCTGCCCTGCATGACTGCGTACAAAGGACAGACAGCATTTGTGGGTTTATTCAGCAGGTGCTTACTGAAAACAGACTGCGCCGCAGGCACAGGTGGTAGACAAAGGGAATATGGCAGCAAACAGGACAGGCAGAGTCCTGCTCTTACGGAGCCTACAATCCAGGCAGAGGGAAACAAGGTAACAAATAGGCAATTCAAGGAATAAAGTAATTTCAGATAGTGGTAAGTGCTCTGATGATAATACAGTGGGCCATTGTGATAGAGACGGGGGGACTTCTTCCCAGTGGGGTTCCCAGGAAGACCTAAGGAGGCAGCACTTGAACTGAGATAGGGCAGCGGATTCCAAGCAGGGGTCTACCATAAAAGCTGAGTGGTTGGGTGCTCGGAGTGGGGAGCGGTTGGGTGTTTGGGTGCCTGGGTAACTGGGCGGTTGAGTGGCTGGGTGGCCAAGTGGTTGGCTAGTTAGATGACTAGGTGCCTAGGGGGCTGGGTGGTTGGTTGGGTGAGTGGTGTTAGCACCCACTCCTAGGTGAGAGGCCCTCTCGTCAGGCAGTTCCTTCTGCTACTTAACCTCATTCTGTCACTTTGCTCTCTTGCAGCTCCCTGTGTTGAGAACAGAGGTGAGTCCTAGCTGTTTGTCCTATCTCCAAACATATCTCTGGGCTGCAGCTTAATAGATAAGGACAAGACAGGGCCACTGGGTCCCCCAGAGATATCTTCACACCAGCACAAGACTAGAACCCTTCCTCGGGACTCCTGGCTAATGCCCAGGGAGAGCAGGAACCCAGGAGTCCACGGTTCTCGGGCTGGGGATAATTCTAGGGTGACCCAACGCCCAGCAGAATGGCTCCGGCCTCTGTCCTGTCCCCTTGCGAGTAGCACTGGCTTCTGTGTCCCCCTCTCATTGTAGCTCTGGAGCCCCTGGGCCCCTTCCTGCCCTTTTATGTCCAGAGAAGTGGCCACCTTTGTCTGCAGGACAGCCTTCTTCCTCTCTCTGCCCCCTCTGCACCCCCAGCCCATCCTGTTACACTGAGCTCCACGGCACTTCCTGCCAGGTAGGAAGAAACCCTGGGCTCTGAGCATCTTGACCTTCAAGGCATGTGCCGAGATGCCAGGGAGGGAGAATTCAAAGCAACACAGCCCTGCTAGAGAAAGCGCAGCCATGGAAGCCAACCTGGCCACTGCTCACCCTGTGAGCTGCACCCCCTCCAGGCTGAGGGGAGCACGGGCCAGGGGCCCAGGGACATGTAGGCAAAGCGGGATACACTGGGCTCCCCTGCCACTGTCGGGTTACTCATCACCATGCTCAGGTCATCCGCCCTGGCTCCGGAGGCTGTAGGGAACGCGGCTGTCTGGCGCGGGGGTGGTGGGGTGGCAGGTGCAGCCTGAGGCTGCCTGCAGGTGACGCTGGGTCCTCAGGAGCAGTGCTCCATCAGTGTCACTGCATAGCTGCATTTCAGGATTGAGGACAGAGATGACAGAGCCTCGCCATCACTGTGGCGGAAATGAAACTCCCTGCTGGGGGTGGGGTCGGAGGCTGGGCCCAGGGAGCCTGACCAGGAAGCAGGAGGGAGCCGGCCCCAGCGTGGCACGACAGCACCCACCTCTCCGGCTTCTCTCCTCTGCAGCCGGGTGCAGCTGTCCCTGGGAGTGGAGGCTGCAGGCAGAGTTGCACTGGGGTGGCCAGGATGTGGGCAGCCAGTCTAGGGAAGTGAGAACTGGGTCAGGAGGACAAGACAGAACAATGGATGGAAGGGATCCCAAGCTGGGCAAGGTGGGAGAGAATAAAAGGAGACAAGGAGGGTGGCAGGGATGAAGGCCAGAGAGAAGGCACAGGGAGAGGAGGGGAGGGGACGGGAGAGGGAGGGAAGAGGAAGGAGGGGGAGGGAACAGAGGCCTGGTGGCCTGGCCTGGGGGGTGGGGCATGGTGGCCGCTGTACAGGAGCCTCCATTCCCAGGGGGAGGCCTTAGGTGGGGACAGGAGGAAGTGGCCCCACGGCAGCTACAGCCACGCGGGTCCCCGGCCCTGTGTCCCACAGCCTTGCTGACTCTCAAAACTGAGCCGCCTGTGGTGTTTGAAGGAGATGCCCTGACCCTGCGATGCCAGGGAAGGAAGCATGCGGTCCTATCCCACGTGAGGTTCCACAAAGTCGGAAGTTACCATAGGCCCTCTGACAATGGCCCTTCTCTGACCCTGGGGACAGCCACAACAGCAAACAGTGGCCTATACAGGTGCACAGCACAGTTGACCCATTTCCCGCACGTGGGCACACAAACCTCAGAGACTGTCATGGTTCAAATCCGAGGTGAGTCCCCAGCTTGGGAGGGGTGGGGGGATGGCCCCTAGAGGTCGCCTGCCCTCTGGCTGCGCTGGATGCTGGGCCGACCCACCTGAGATGCCCACGAAGCCACCATAACACCCTGCCCCACCATGGGGCATGTCTGGAGCCAGGCAGCCAGGGAGATGCCCTGGAGAGGGTGGGCAGAGCCCTGAACCAGCCCTGCTGCCCCCACCCCTGGCGACCCTGGGAGGCCCTGGGACACAGTGATGGTGTGTCCTACAGGGCACAAGGCTGTGCCTGGGCCGTGCCCAGCTCAGACCTCAGCCTCGGGGTGGGGAGCTGGCTATCCGGGTCTCCCCCCCTGAGTCCTGCTGGCCTCTCCCCAGTGCTGTTCCCCACTCCTGTGCTGAGCGCCATCCCCTTTTCCCGACCCCGTGTGGGGAGCCCGCTGACCCTGAGATGCCAGACACAGCTGCACCCCTGGAGGCCGGCCTCCCGGCTCCTCTTCTCCTTCTACAAAGGTGGTCAGGCCTTGAGGGGCTGGGGCCCCAACCCAAAACTCGATATCCCCGAAGTCCAGGCGGAACACTCTGGGTGTTACAGGTGTAAGGCCGCCCTTAGGGCTGGTCTGGTCCAGAAGGACAGCCTCCTGCTGGAGATCACGGTGTGGGGTAAGTGTGGGAAGGAGGGGAGTCACTCTCCCAGGGTCCGGGCATTGGGCGATGGGACCCCTGGGGAGTGGAAGGGGCCCTGAGGGAGGAGGTGCCTGACCCTGGGTGGGCCGGGTGACCCTCCCTGTGGTGTGCAATCACAGTTCCTGCGTCCCCACCTGTGCTCACCCTGAGACCGCCACACGGCATCCTCACTGTGGGGGACATGGTGGAGCTCCGCTGTGAGGCCGAGAGGGGCACCCCTCCAATCCTGTACACGTTCTACCTGCATGAGAAGATCCTGGGGAGCTGCTTGGCTCCCCGTGGAGGTGCCACTTCCCACCTCACCTCCATGACATCAGAGCAGGATGCCAGGAACTACTCCTGCCGGGCAGAGAACAACATCTCCGAAGAGTCGAACCAGCCAGCGACACTCTGCCTGCATGGTTGGACTTGCTCCCCTACCAGGCCCTGAACCCCGCAGGCTGGCAGGGGTCAGAGCTCACTCCCCTGGGTGCTTCCCTCCATGCTCAGCACGGTGTTGGGCCCTGGGCAGGCACTGCATGACTGCGCATGGACCCTGCTTGGAGCATCTGTCCACTGACCCGGGCAGGGAAACAATGAAGGCCACAGCGAGTGGGGGGCACCACAGGAGGAGGGTCCCACAGTCACCCATGGCCTTACCCGTGCACACGGGCATCCTCTGAGCCATCCTCACTCCCAGGCTGCAGGTTCCTCCAGGGCATGTGGTTCTCCCTACTGCCAGCCGTTCCGCCCTCCCTGTGCCCATCTTGGGTGGGTACATTTCCGAATTGCACCCGCAGTGCTCATGGTCACCCCTACTCAACCCCAGGTCCTCGGGTCCTGTCTGCCCCCCCAAGCAGCAACAGGCTGGCTCCTTGGCTGTCTGCAGTCCTGCTGGGCATGGCGGTCACCACCGCTGCACTTCTGCGCTATTTCAGACCCTGGAGAAAAAACGGTCAGTAACTCTCTTTGGCTTCTCGGTTACTGAACCCGTATGCCAGGCACTGCCCGGCCTTTGAAAAGCCAGAGTCTGACAGGACCAGGGCATTTCTTGTCCTGGGTGTTGGGTGAGAGGAGGGACTCCTCATCACAGGTCACACACAAGAGGCCCTTGCGGGGACACTTACAGCTTCCCAAACAAATACATGCAGACACACTGTCTCACACACCCACTGTCACCCAGAGAGGCACACAAACACACTTCTGCACCCTGGGCATGGATAGAGACACAAAGAGAGGAATTCTCACAAGCCCACCAGGATGTAGATCCGTGTCCTTCACATTCAAAAGACAAGGCTACAAATGTCACTGAGAAAACCCGCGGCCTCCGTCTCTCTGGTTGAACTCGGCCAAGCTCTGGTCTGCACAGCGGACGAGAAAGCCGGAGGGAGAACTCCAGGGCATGCACACACGCTCCCGCGTACACACTCATTTCGTCCACGCTGTGGACTGAGCCTCCTGGTACCAGTTTACTCCTGGGCCTTCACATCCACCTACAGAGGCGTGGATCAACCCCACTTCCTCCTTCCCTGGGGGCAGCCTTCATATTTTCCACTTGCCAAGGGAAAAGTGGTTTGCTCCCACAGACCTCCACAGATGGACCTACCGATTCAGGTTTGCAGCCCCCTCTGGGAGTGGATTGGTGGTGAGCTTTCCAGGAGAGGGACCGGACTATTCTTAGAGGAAGACCACTAGTCATGTGTAGATTGAGCATCAGCCATGTCGCGGCCCAGCCACAACAGTCGAACAGGGCTACCAAAGGACGTGAGGAGACCTGAATAAAGGACACCAGAGACCTGGGGAGGGCTGACCCTCCTGCGCATCGCTAGCAAAACTTTATTGAAGGTCTAGGGTTTATATAATGCAGTGGGGTTACATGATTCCAGCGCAGAGCATTATCCAATAGACAATCAAGCACAGTATTGACATCAGCGGTAGCCTGGCAAAGCTAGGCTCAGCAGAGTTCCTTTAGTTGCTCATGGAATGCGTAACGAGGATGTTCTTTGTTCTCCATTCCAGCCACATTGGCAAGTGGGGGAAGGGCATAGTCCGCTCCCCACACAGCCAGATTACCTGCAAAGGTCTCTCCCGGCCCTTGAGCCCGTGCCCTGCTTCTCCAGGCGCCCCAGTTAGGGCTCGGGCCATTCTCCACCACCCTCTCCTTTTTTAGCTTAGCGGTCTTTGTCCATCCAACTACCCATCCCCTCTTCCCTCCAGCCTTGAGTCTACATTCCAGGCCGGCTAGTCTTGCTTTTAGGAGGAAGATGCAGGCAGGTCCAGAGCTAGATGGGGAGGCCGCTAGGCCGTGAACTGAAGAGCTCTGAGTCCCACCATCCCCGCAGCTGTAAGAAAGCCTCCTTCTAATGGCCCAGCCCGGCCTCAGTGACCCAGGTGTTTCTGTATCTGTCCACTCACCTTGGGGGCAGAGCATTTAAGGAAAAGCAGCAGAACACAGCTGACTCCCTCCCAGCCTCCCGCTGAGGTCCTCCGAGAACCACGCCTTTCACAGGGAGTGAAAGACCCTCCCTCTTCCTGGGAGAGCCTGCCTCCCACCTCGCACACTCCCCTCCCCGGCCCCCACCCCCTGCCTGGGAGCTGCCTGGCTCCATCTCCCTAAGCAACCTGTCTTCACAAGACTAGGACTCAGGAAGAGGTGGCCATCCTCTTATCTCAGAATCTAAGGGGTACGAAACCTTCTTTAGAATGTCACTCAGAAAGCCACCTTCAGGCCCAATTCCATAGCCACGCAGGAAAAACAACAGCTCAACAGCTTCATTCTCCACACCAGCCCTGGAAGACCCTTCACACTGCAGACAGCATAGTCACTTCTTCAGTGGCAGAAACGTGCCAGCGCCCGAGGTATTCTGCAGACTGGATCCCTGAAGGCAATTTTCGAAACATTTTGACACATGATGGTGTCACCAGAACTAGGATGTATGCAGGCAACGTGCCCCCTTCAAAGCGGCATTGATCTAGGTGTATAATTCTGGTTTGTTTGTTTAAAAGCATCAAACCTTTGCAAGATGGTTACAATGAACGTAAGACACTAAAAGGCAGAAGGGAAGGTTTTTTGCATCCAGCTACGTGCAGGTCACCGGGTTAGGTGCTTGGCCGTGAAGTATCTGAATCTCCTGGTCCACTGTCCGGCACATAGTGTGTGGTCAAAGTTATTAGCTTTTCCTCCTTCTGAAAAGCAGCCTGACTGGTGGGTCTGGGCCCTTTCCATGCCAGGGCGTGACCTCTCTTCTGACCCTGCTTCCTCCCAGTCTGTGATTCCCATGCAGCCATCCTATCCTCTAGGGTATTTTTCAAAGAAAACATCCCACAAAAATGAACCATGTCCAGACCTGTGAGTTAGCCCTCACATACAAACCAGCCTCAGACCTCCAGCAGCCTCCACTGACATCCTTTCTCAGCCTCTCGGGCCCCACCATCCAGCCTGCTCTCCAAGGGACCTCAGCAAATTGTGCCTTCGCATCTCCTAGGGCCCCTGCCAGCCCAGAATCCGCCCCCAGCCCCGGGTGAAGAGCAGGACGCACTGTATGTCAACGGTAAGGACCTTCAGCAAGACTGTGGTCTGTGGATGAAGGCAGAGAAGGGCCTCTCAAGGGGAGTAAGAAGAAGAAAGCAGCCTTTGTGAGTCCCAGGTCTCTGGAATCAGTCACCGGGCAAAGGTGCAGATGTATCTGGGGAGAGCTTCAAGAGCGAGTCCTGGGGAGCTGGTGGTGCGACAGGGAAGCTGGAAGGGAGCCTGGCCTCCAGGGAGAGGGCAGGGAGGGTTCATACAAAGGGTTGGCAATCTATGGCCCGTGGGCTAAAGCTGGACCACCAGCTATTTCTGGAAGGGTCCTTGTGTATGCACAGTGTGTGGCCGCTGTCATGGCACAGAGCCAAGCGGCTGCAAGAGAGATCATAGGGCCCACAAAGACTGAAATATTTACTGCCTTATCTCAGAACCTATAGTTTAAACAATATACAGTAGGGCTGGGGAAGCTTCTAGAATCTGCTCTTGGGTGCAGGCACCTCCTGTCAAAATGGATATCCCACATTAATGACCGCTTCCCACTGCCAGTCACCACCCTGACTGAGCCCTTGACTGGCTTCCCTCTGTAAGTGTCTGCAGGGCCCCGGTGTCGTGCGGTGGGACGGCAGGCGGGTCTTTCCCATCCAGGGCCTCGTTACTTCTTTCAGTTCGTTACCAGAATGATGGTGATGAAGGCACTATTTCCTCGGAGGTGTGTGTAGTCCAAAATAATAGGTGAGTGATCTCGGGCCAAACCATGGCATCTTTGCTAATTCAAAGGGGGAGTTAAGGGTCTCGGCAGAGAGGCTGGTATCACTGCTGCTACCGTGAGCATCAGCATTTCACCACGACCCTGATCACCACCACCACCTCCTCCCTCACCACCACCCTCACCACCACCACCCTGGCCACCGTGAGCACCGTCCTCCTGTCACCTCCTCGCACCATGGCTGTCACCGTGCTAACTAGGGAGAGTTTTTGGCCCTTGTCTGCGCACTATGGAGGAACAAAGGAAAGAGGAAAAAAGTGATGCAAACAGGGAAGTCTCATCTCTCAGAGGGAGTCAGGAAGACTGAACTCCAGCCACAGATGCCAGGCAGGCAGGCAGGGGCAGGGGCGGGGAAAGACCCGTCTTCTCCCTGCCAGAGAGGCCGCATGGCATCCCGAGGACAGGAGGTTTCTGAGTCAGTCAGAGCTGAGTTCAAACCTGAGTCTAGGCACTTCTGTGTGACCGAGTAAGTTGTGTAAGCTCTCTGAGCTCATCTTCAAAGGGGTGATAATGCCTACTTTGAAAGACTATTATAAATCACTAGGAATAGAACCTGAGTTCTAGAAATCTTAAAGATTGTCTGGTATGTAATAGGTGTTCAAAAACAGGGAGCTGTTTTTTTCTTAATGTCTCACTGGCTCTTTGATTCCTGGTCTGTAAAATGCAACTGAATCAGTCTAGGGTTTCTGCTCCCTGCCATCAGGGGCACCAGGACAGTGGACAGACAAGGAGTCTCCCGGGCTCAGGGCAGCTCCCCCAGGGCCTGACTGTTCCTGCCTACAGCGCGGCCAGGGCAGGTAGGAAAGCACACGTGGGCATGGTTCTTTCCACAGAAGAGTTACAGGGAGAACAGAAACAAAAGACGAAGAGAATCTAGCCTCAGAATATAGAGTTCTCATTGGCAAAAAAAGAGAGGCTGACTGTTTGATTCCGAGCAGGCCACAAAGGTGAAGCCATGCTTTGGGGTGTGGGTGAGGGTGGGGGTGACGTGCTCCCAGTGCATGCCTCCTCTGAGCAGGCTTTCCCTGGTGTGCGAGTGAAGGGATCTGAAGCCCAAAGTGAGGAAAGGCCACTATGTTCCTAGGCACATAGGAAAGGGGACCCCGGATCTTTCATCCTGGGAGAATGCTCTGTTTCTGCAAAGATTCAGTATTTGCCTACAGTTCCACCGCTCGTGGAAGTGACTATAGAGTGATTGGCCGCCCCGAGCCTCGGTTTTCTCTCCCAAAAGGAGAAGGAATCAGTAATCCCCGCTTCGCGGGACTGACGTGAGATTCACATAAAAAATCAAATCCTCACTCCTAAAAGAGCGCCTGGTGCAGAGAAGCTGATGTAATTTTAAAAGCATCTTTGACAAGTTCATCCCTCTTGATTCACACGGGAATCCTCGTGAGGTAGTCACTGTTGCCACTACCACCCCTATAGTGGCTGAGGAAGCTGGGGTTCAGAGGCTGGTACCGGCCAATGGGAACACAGCTGGTGTGCGGTTGGACAAGGACCAGACCCAGGACACCTGCTTTCAGACTCCAGAGGAGTGAGAGGGGGAACAGCGCTCCCTGGGCCGGGCCGGGCCCTCTGCGAGGAGCAGCTGGCACCAGGGCGAGGGAAGGAGCTGCACCCGGCCCCGGGGCCAAATCCCCACCCAGCCTGAGCCTGCCTCTCTTTCCCCCCACAGCCTGGCCTTCAGAGTCAACTTCTGAGGCAGAGGTGAGTAGGGTCCCCTGCTCTTTTCTCATCTGCTTCCTCATCCCGACCCAACTCTCCCACAGGACATTTCTGTCACCTACACTGAGAAGAGTCCAGATAGCATCCCTCCAACACGTGTACCCACCCACAGCATCCAGTGCTGCCAGGAGGCCAGCGGGGACCTCAGCCCCTTCTGTGGGCCCAGTTCCCTGTGCTGGGTCATAGAAGACCCCACCTACCTCTCCGAGAAAGAAGCCCAGGTCTTCAGGGAGCTCCTGGCACCATGGAGCTTCAAACATCCAGCATTTACCTTTGAGATTATTAGAAATTCAGGGGCTCAAACCCAACCCCAGATCTGCTCAATCAGAATCTGCATTTCAATAAGACCTCCAGGTGATTTGTATTCACCGGAAAGCTTAAAACGCCTGGTCTGCCTCCCAAATACACACACTTACACACTTTCTGGAAGTACCTTTGCCTGCCCATCTTCGAGAGCCTTCTTCCCTGTGGCTCCGCTCTGGGTGAAGACGGGTAGGTAAGACAGAGGGGCCCAGAGCTGGCACACCCACCCAAGCTGGCACTTTCTCTCCCTTCTCTTCTAGGCCCTTTTCTTCCTTCCCCAACCCTTCCTTGTTCTCTACTCCCATCTCTCTCATCACAGGTCCAGTCCATGTCCACAATATACCAGAACCCTCTCAGCACCCTCTGACTCTGCCAGACTCTCTGAGGAATGCACGCCAGGCCATCAAGGAGGACAGGGTCCGCACCAGTCAATCAGGAAGCACCCACCAAGCCCAAGCCCTCATGCCCTCTATAAACAAGGGCCCCTGTCAACAGTGAAGACACAGAGGATGCAGGAGCCACCGGTGATGGGGAGCAGGAAGGAGCCGGTCCGCCCTAAGGGCGCCCATCTCTCCTGCCCCTACAGCAGAGTTGCCCAACCCTTGGTCCAGGACCCGGGGCCCATCTGTGAATTGTCTTTACCCATCCAGGATAAGTAGAACAATTGAAAGCAAGACCTTAGCAATCTTCATAGCAATCGGACAGAGTAATTGTTTGTTTGCTTAACATAATCATAAAAAATTAGGGTTTGTATTTTGTATGCCTCTTTTAATTTCAAATCTTTTTAGTAATTTGCCTGTATTGTATTTTACAAACATATAGGTCCCCAATGCATTGGAAATAAAAAACGAAAGCAGGTGTTTGAATGCAGTTGGTGAGAAGTCCTACCCTGAACCAGACACACACACACACCCGGCCTTCCTTAACCTGCACCTCGCCCTCCTCAGAACCTCTCCCCGCTCTCAGCTCTGTTTGCACAGCTGAAAATATCCTTTTCGCTTAGTTTAGAAAAAAATGACCTGGGATTTTTTGAAAAGGAGCAATTACTAAGAAAACTGAAGAAAAAGGAAAGCCGCCAAAAGAACACAGAGAAAGTAGCACCTTCAGAGGAGACTCACGTCCTTCGGCCCAGACCCACTCGGTTGCCGAGATCAGCACTGCCCGCCCCAAAGTCCTGCGGCCCTGAGGCAGGAACCTACTCCTCCTCCCAGGAGACACTGGTGGGCAGGCGCAGAGGGGCCGTCCCCAAGGGGGATGGGGCTTCCACAGCTCCCCAGGGACAGGCCCCGCACCGCAGAGGGATACCAAGGCCCCCAGCCTCCCACTGCGACACCGCGGAGAGACGCCACGGCCCCCAGCCTCCCGCTGCGCTGCTCACCACGGGACTGACTGCCCACAGCAGCCTCCACACATTCTCAAGGCTCTGCACTGTGAAATGTTTTTCTCTCCAAGTCAGAGCTAAGTGCAAACGCTTGACCAGCCAGAATGAGTTGGCTGGGCCTCTTCTGGGACCTGGGCCCTGTGGGGTCACATCACCTCCAGGGTAAGAAGAGAAGAAAGAACTCTGTAGCTGGCTTGAGGGTGGAGAGGCAGCTAGGAGCCCCCCGTTAAGGGACAGGGGGAGGAAGGGGCCAGCTGGGAGCCTCATGGCTGCCCTCTGGTGGCCCTCTTGGGTCGCCCAGGACTTGAGTCCTGGCCAACACTGGTCTCCTCCTTTCCTACATGACTTCATTGTAAGACACCATTAGACACCCGGTCCTTGCTTCTTATGTTGCTAAACAATTTAAACACAAGCAACAAAAATGGAACTGGCCAGGCAGGCTGCACATGTTGGGATTTTTTTCATTGCAGGTTTGTTACTTTATATTTGGCTAGGAAATAGGGTCTTCTCCATTACTATTAAACAAGCATCAATTAAACCGTTCTTTGTCCTTCATCTTTATATTGAACCATAATGACAGTAACTACAGACAGGGTGCACAGGATGGGAAAGACCCAGATTGGGGTAAACACTCCCACACTGAACCCATGTGCACATCTCCCTCTGTGCAGCTGGAAGAAGCCGCAGCTGGCAAGACCAAGAGCCGTCAGCAGGTTGGCTTCCTTGACGTGCGCGGCTCTGCCTGTGCTCACACGGACCCAGCTTCCAAGCTCTTGGGAAGAACACTCTGTGTTGTACTCGTTTCCGGAATCCTCTCCCACACGGGGAAAGATCCACAGTGGCTGTCCCTCTTTTCATCCGTGCCATGATCACTCGTCATCAGCCTGAGTCCTGCCCCCTGGGGCTTACACACGTTAGATGCTCTTTATGCGCTTGTTGAGCACATCCCTCTGCACAGATGGGGTTCCAACAACTGTTTGGTGAGTGAGTGAGTTTCCAGCTCCCCACCCCCACCCATCTACAAGGATAAACACAATTGGGGCTCCATGCTTTTTGACGCAGACTCTCCCCAGCCCTCTCAGACTAATTCACAGGCTCCCCCTTTCTGTTCTCCAGTTTCCCTTCTCCAGCTGGGTGCGTGAAGCCCCTAGTTCATCAGAGATCCCACTCCCTGTCCCCAGTCCCAGGTTGCGGGTGAGGCAAGAGAGGTGCCTTGGGCACAGATATGAAAGAGCCCTCATTCTCAGGCCATGCGCCCCCGCAAGTCACAGGGGAATGCGGGTGCCTCCGTTTCATGAGTGCAGACACTGCCTCGAGCCCAGGCCTCCTGCCACACTGCAGGCCTGCTGCCTAAGCGAGGGGGCAGTGCCGTGCCTCCCCACCCAGGGCAGCCTTTGGGGCCAGCCAGGGCTGGTGGCTGGTGTGGGCGGGCAGGTCGTGCAGGCAGAGGGCCCCATCTATGGGAAGCCCACAGGGGAAGGTAGGCACAAGACGGGGCTATGGTGGGGTTCTCCCTGGTCCTCAGGCCCCTTCCTGCGCCATCCCTAAAATGGTGTCCAGAGGCCCACCCGCTCCCCACCAACACCTCTGCCTTCTGCCTGGGTCCCAAAAGCCTGCTGCGTGCCCCTCTCCTTGTCTGGGGCTCTGCCTCCTCCCTGCCTGGTTCCTTCTCTCCTCAAACATCCTGCCTTTTTCTCCTCTCCACCTCTCCCCTGGGGAAGAAGCACAGCCCCAGTCTTCCCTGAGGCCAGTCCAAAGAGCAAGGACAAGTGTGAGTGGGCAGGGACACGGCGTGCAGGTGTGCACTTCACACCCCACTCAGATCCTGGGCCCTGAATCTCTGTGCCAAGCAACAATCAGGGTTAATGGTGTTGCTCGGGCAGCTTGTCTGGCCCTGTCCACACCTGCTCCGTGCCCCGAGCCTGTGAAGAAGGTGGGCTCACGGTGCCGGCCGAGCTCCTGGCAGATGGAGCTGCTGCGCCTCGGCCCACCGGCTCCAGGCGTCCCAGAAGGGCCCCAGNGGGACGGGAGAGGGAGGGAGGAGGAAGGAAGGGGGAGGAAGCTGAGGCCTGTTGGCCTGGCCTGGGGGTTGGGGCATGGTGGCCGCTGTGCAGGAGCCTCCATCCCCAGGGGGAGGCCTTAGGTGGGGACAGAGGAGGAAGTGGCCCCACAGCAGCTGCAGCCCCGTGGGTCCCCGGCCCTGTGTCCCATAGCCTTACTGACCCTCCAAGCCTGGCCGCACCCGGTGTTTGAAGGAGATGCCCTGACCCTGCGATGCCAGGGAAGGAAGCATGCGGTCCTATCCCACGTGAGGTTTTACAAAGACGGAAGTTACCTCCCGTCTTCTGAGGACAACCCTTCTCTGACCCTGGGGACAGCCACAGCGGCAAGCAGTGGCCAGTACAGCTGCACAGCACAGGTGACCTATATCCTGTATGCGGGCACACAAACCTCAGAGACTATCATGGTTCAAGTCCAAGGTGAGTCCCCAGCTTGGGGGTGTGGGGGGTTGGCCTCTAGAGGTCGCCTGCCCTCTGGCTGCGCTGGATGCTGGGCCGACCCACCTGAGATGCCCACGAAGCCACCATAACACCCTGCCCCACCATGGGGAATGTCTGGAGCCAGGCAGCCAGGGAGATGCCCTGGGGAGGCTGGGCAGAGCCCTGAACCAGCCCTGCTGCCCCCACCCCTGGCGACCCTGGGAGGCCCTGGGACACAGTGATGGTGTGTCCTACAGGGCACAAGGCTGTGCCTGGGCCGTGCCCAGCTCAGACCTCAGCTTCGGGGTGGGGAGCTGGCTATCCGGGTCTCCCCCCCTGAGTCCTGCTGGCCTCTCCCCAGCGCTGTTCCCCCCTCCTGTGCTGAGCGCCATCCCCTTTTCCCGACCCCGTGTGGGGAGCCCGCTGACCCTGAGATGCCAGACACAGCTGCACCCCTGGAGGCCGGCCTCCCGGCTCCTCTTCTCCTTCTACAAAGGTGGTCAGGCCTTGACGGACTGGGACCCCCTCCCAGAACTCGATATCCCTGATGTCCAGGCGGAGCACTCTGGATGTTACAGGTGTAAGGCCGCCCTTAGGGCTGGTCCCGTCCAGAAGGACAGCCCCCTGCTGGAGATCAGGGTGTGGGGTAAGTGCGGAAAGGAGGGGAGTCACTCCCCCAGGGTCCAGGCTTTGGGCGATGGGACCCCTGGAGTGTGGAAGGGTTCCTGAGGGAGGAGGTACCTGAGCCTGGGTGGGCTGGGTGACCCTCCCCGTGGTGTGCAGGCCCAGCTCCCGTGTCCCGACCTGTGCTCACCCTGAGACCACCACACACCATCCTCACTGTGGGGGACATGGTGGAGCTCCGCTGTGAGGCCGAGAGGGGCACCCCTCCAATCCTGTACACGTTCTACCTGGACGGGAAGATCCTGGGGAACCGCTCGGCTCCCCTTGGAGGCGCCACCTCCTTCCTCTTCCCAGTGATGTCGCAGCAGGATGCGGGGAACTACTCCTGCCAGGCAGAGAACAGCATCTCCAAAGAGTCAAGCAAGCCAGAGACACTCTGCCTGGATGGTTGGTCTTGTTCCCCTACTGGGCCCAGAGCCCCGCAGGCTGGCAGGGGTCAGAGCTCACTCCGCTGGGTGCTTCCCTCCATGCTTGGAATGGTGTTGGGCCCTGGGCAGGAACTGCA